AAGGATGCTTGAAGGATGATAACAGTAGCAGTGATAACACAGATGATGTTGAAGTAAGTAAAGAACAGTCTTCCAAGTCAAACAACAACCATAGTGATCGTGAAAATAAGTCAGTACCCATCGTAGTGAATGATGAACAGTATTTGAAGGTTGATGTGAATAGCAGAAACACTATTGAGGATGTTGAACAATCTTCAACATTAAACAAAAGCCATAGTAATGGTGAAAATTTTCCAATAACATGCAGTCATGATATGCTAGCAATGAAGTCACCACTTATACCAATAAATGATAATCAGCACGGGGGTGAAAAACTAAACAATTTGACTTATGGTACTTTAAGTGAAATGTTTTCACAAATAATGATCAAATTATTAAAGAGGCTTTGCATAAAAGTGAAAATGATTATAAAAATGGCTGTAGTTTACATTCTTGAACTACAAAATCAGGAAACAACACCACATCGAGTGTATGCTTCATTTGGATTCTGTAATAACATTGATGATGATATAGATTTTCAAGATAATGAAGCATCTCCACCTGGTAACACGCAGGTTACAAAAGATGAGGAAAGGCCAGAAAGCATAACTACCGAGGAGTCTCTTTCTAGCATTGTCAAGAAATTTTTAAAAGATAAGATAAAGTTGATTCAACTTTTAGGATCAAGGTATGTTTTTCACCATGTGCCCAATTCATTCAACTTATTAAAATATTGTATGCACATTTCTTGAACCTTATTTGATAATTCTTATCACAAGATGTTGGGCTTTAATGTGTTAAATCAAGGCATAAATTTTGTTTGAGCAGAATGGTCTAAGATATGAATATTACAGTTGTGATAGAAAGTTAATTATGTCTTAAAATTTAACATGACAGTGCCTTCTTTAATACATTATGCAGTTGAAAGTTAAGATTGAAATATGTTCAAAAACCCGTTTATTGTGTACAGCATTGCTTATCTAACATGTGTGAATTGCTTCCATCTTAATCAAGTTCATTGTTTTTCAAATGAAGTAGTTGAAATTTGTCTTTACCACTGTAAAAGGAAAAGGTTGTGAATTTGTTATCCCCATTTTGAACCACCTTTGCATGGTTACAGCACCAAACCCCATTAGTTGTTGATTAAAACAAGATTGAAGAATAGTTTGGTGATCGACTAAACATTGTTATTTAAACCAATTTTCAAAATTCATTTTTTCTGCTGTCACATTAGTCAAAAGTGTGTCACATTAGATTGAAAAAATAAAGACTGTTTCAGCGCAAGTAGGGAAAAGTGGGAAAGAAGTGAGGGGTTAGGGTTGTTGTCAGACTACCAAATTTAAAATGAAATTTATTTGAATTATCAATTTGTTTAAAGCTAACCTTTCATGCTTTTATTGGTATTCTGAGCCTGCGGCCAAAGAATTAAATTCAAAAATTCACAAACTTTTTTCAGGTAAGAAGGAAAAATTTGTGGGGTGATGCTAAATTCAAAATAAGGAAGTGCTCAAATGAGGATCTAACAGCATGATCAAAGTTCAGTTCGTAGGAGAACCTGCAGTTAACGAAGGCGGGCCGAGAAACGAATTTTTCTCATTACTCCACAGTGAAGTATCTAAATCCTGCATGTTTGTTGGTGAGGATTACAGAAAAAGCTTCAACCATGACATTCTTGCGCTACAACAAAGAAGCTTTTACACTTATGGTCAGTTATGTTATGTTGGAATTTTGCAAGGCTCTGCTTCTCCTTGCTTTTTGTCTTCGAGTATTGTAGATTACATTTTATCTGGTGAAATTGACCTGGTAAAATCAACATGCATTAGCGACATACCCAATCAAAAGATGAATCATAAGCTTCAAGAGTTAGAAAAAATGAAAGATCCAGATGCCTTCGCCAAAGCTGCTTCTTTTGACAGTTCATTTCGGTTATAGGCTGGTTTCAGTAAACCACTCGTATCGTTTGAAGAAAAAGATTTGCTTTTCCGAGCTATTGTATTGCATTATAACCTTTTATCTTCCTTATATGAAATAAATCAGTTCGTCGAAGGGTTGAATTTCCATGGCTTCATTGATTATGTACGCCACTATCCTCACCAAGCTCGCGCATTGTTTTTGTTCAATGAGAACAAAACTGGAGGAACTTTTTCAACCGGTATTCTCATCTAGGGGGAGAAACAGATGTATAAATGAGGAGGCTGTGTCATTAAACTTTACAAGATATTTTGAAGATGTGGAATCTGGAGAAATTTCTTGTCCTATCATTGATCTGGAAACAGAAAATTGTCTGAAATGGTTGTTACATTGCCCATAGTATTGCAGTTTGTTGCCGGGAGTACAAGTGTGCCAGCAATTGGTTTTTACCAGCCATCCATCCATCACATTCGAGCATGATACTGCAGGAAGAAAGCTGAATGTTCATAATTGCTCTAACACTCTTTGCCTGGCAGTGAATGACATTCTTTTGAATTATGACAGTTTCAAAATTTAGTTCATATCTTGTTTAGGTCAATCTCCGGGTTTTGGAAATGTGTGACATTCTATCAGATAGTTTTGCCAATGAAATGAATGTAACATCGTATTAAATTTATATTCATAAAGGCACGGACATGAGTCAAATGTTGTTTAGTTACTAATGTTAGCTTTCTTAATTGTTTTTGGAACAATTTTATATACAAAGTTACAAAATTTATGTTTCTTGATAATATTTAGAGCATACAAAGATAAAGACTCATTTTGAAAAAGTGATGCAATTAGAAAATTACAGTATACTGCATAATTGTGCAAATGGCTTTTTCATACGGTTATTTCATACTTGTTACATGTAGATGTAGTTGTGAATTGCACCATGATGATTATTAATTAAAGGTGGTAGTTGATTTAAAATGAAAGCAACAATTTATTTTTTAGTCTTTCCAAGTTTGTATGTTAAAATGTGTGGTATAGCCTACAACATATTTCAAAAAAAAACTACATAATTTTACCCAAATATAACTGCTTTTTAAGTATGAATTTATTCTGGTAACGTTACCAAATAATGAAACAAATCAAGAGCTTCACGCCAGTGATTTGGAGCTGACCAACTTCGAAGATTACACACATATTCAAAATATTCATGGTGATCCGTATTTCCAGCATTGCAACAAGTTTCAACTTCATGTAAGGAAATGACTTCATTCAACTGATTTTTATGGACAGGCTGCAATTGATCGGCAGTGCACTGTTATTTTTTAGGTGTTGAACTAGCACTTTCTCTAGTGCTAAACTGACACCCACCGGTGGTGTTAAATAAAAGGTGTTATTATAACACGAATATTGGTGTTGATTTAACAACATATGACCTTAAACATATTGTAGCGTGTTAAATTTACACCTCAACACTTTAACACCCAATTAATAGTGCTGAAATAGCACCTTGTGCTGCCACAAAGGTGCTAAATTAACACTGTTTTTTGGTGTTAAGTGGTTGGTGTTAAATTAACGCCATTTGCAAGAGTTACAATAATTTATAAAGGGCGGTATTTCTGCACCACTCTCCTTGTAACATCATGGGTGTCAAAATAACACTTATTTTAAATGTTTTTTTTAACTTATTTTTATACTTATATCAAACTGCAGCTGTTTTCGTTCTGACACGGATAACAGAACAGTTGACTTATGCGTTCATTTAAACAGTTTAAAAACTGTTATATTAACCAGAGGTGGATTAAGCATAGATTTTTTTGGGGAACCTTGGCTTTGTGAGTTCATTAAAACTTAAAAGTAATAAGAAATACCGTTTTGGCACACCTCAATGCAACCGTGTTGACCAGAACATAGATGGGTGAGCACCCCTGTGCACTTCCCACCCTATAAATCATTCACTGATAATAAGTACACAGGTTAAACAGTAAATAGAATAATTTATACCAAAGATAATCAGCTTTTTTGAAAGGCCATACTATATACATTACGATAACGCATGAATATGCTGTGTTCAGGAAACTAAAATTTATTCTACATCTATTTCATATCTATGGCAAATGTATTTTGTGTTACAGCCAAATGGCTTTATCAAGTTAAATGGCAAATGTGAGGTTAACTCTTTAAAATATTTAATTTTAATTTCTTTCTGTTTTGAATGAGCAACTTCATAAGCCTGATAATGTTCAGAAAACCTGACAGTCTGTTTTCTTGAAACAACAAACATGGCATTTGCAACATTTTGGTTAATGATATAAATACCAATAACTTCCCAAAACTGGGGAAATTCAACATAATCATAACCAATGTGGACAGTAGCTCCTACTTTATATTTTGTTCCATTGATAGTAATCCATTTGGTACTAAAATTATAATAGGAAAAATATTAATATTATTTAGTTCACAGAAATTAATTGTGTACATAAACTTTACTGAAAAGCAAGTAAATAAAGAGCAATTTTAAGCAATTTCATCATTCACAATGAAGATATTTCAGTCATCTGACAAATTACATCAATCTGACTTACCTATACAATGGTGTTTGTCTGTTCACTTCAGGAGATTCTGTTCGAATGAGCCCACTCTCTTCAACATCACCAAAATATAATGTTTTACCTTCAAAAAGACGAAGATAAGTTTTTTTCATTACTGTAGCTGTAGCTTACATAAAAAATAAAACCAACTCAGGATAATGGATGCACCATTGAGCTATAACTATATATTGTATCTGAATGAAAGAAATCATTAAGAACTGCACCTGGCATAATTTCAGTGCCTTCGCGAATAAACGTGCCATTTCCACCTTCAGCAAACTGTAGGCGATAACAAACTCCTTCTTGGTGCCTCTTTGCCAACGAGTATGGTAAGTTTATAAAATTACCAATCACTATTGCCAACCTCTTAAAGTAATGGTGTTTTGCTTCGTAGCGCATGCACCAACTTCGCAGAAGAGGCCAAATCCGTTAATTGATACAGAATACAAGCAAGAATTGTAAATTAGTTTTGAAAACTGCAAGTTTTTGAAGCCATATGGTTTGTAATTGTAAATCAGAATTCTAAACTTACTGAAGTATTGCTCTTGGCATGTAAACCATGTAGTGCATCTTTGGAATCATACTGCATTCTGGAAACAATTCTTTAAAATTTTGTAATAACTTTTGAATGAGTATTTGAAGATATGAAACTTGCTTTCTGCTCACAATTGGAGTAAAAATTATACGAACAATTTGAAGTGAGGTACAGAGTAACCCCCTGTGCTGATCTTCTACTTCTATAAGGTCACCAATAAGAAATGGAAAATGTAGGCCAAGACACCACATCTGATTTGCTAATAGGACGGAAAAGCGTCATAAATTATCTTCCTGAGGGAACGTGTGCTTATTACTTCATTTTTAGGGATCCCCTGACCTTAGAATACCTTATGGTATCAAACAGTTACATACTGTATATAGATCTATATAGAATTTAAGGATTTTTAAAATAGTGGAAAGGACATTACTGTACCGTGCTGCTTTAAACTATTGTCTGATGAAAGAAGTCTTTGGGCTTGAATTGGAGCAGGTTTATTGGTATCATTATGATAACCAAAATAAAACGCCTGCATCCTTTTATTAAGGTCGTCTAGTTTGAAGTATCTCTTTTCAAAGAGATACTTCTTTTAATAATTCTTTAACAATGTATTGTAGCACACCTTCCAGTATATCATGCATAGCATCTGGGGGGAGTCCTCCAATGACATGATAGTACTTTGAGTTGTTAAGTAAAGAAAACTGATTCAGGCCATAAGTTTTTTTGAAATGCTCTCCTTGGTCCAGTTTTTGACACTGCTCATAGTAACCTTGCACTGTTCACAAAACAAAGTCATCCTCATGAAACTAAACAAATAAGTTAAATTAAGTCACACTAAACACATACAGTATCTACCACTGAAACCATTTAAATTAATTAAACCAATACATTGTCTGAAGTAAAGCACTTTCATATCAACTTAGTACTTTATATTTTTCAAAGTTTACATACTCTGGAGAAAGCATAAACCATGCAATAGATGCAGTGGCAAGTGTCAATTAAGCATTACTGTAGCTACATTATATATACCATTTCAGTTATTTCTGTAGCATTTGACAGACTCTGCATTTTCTGTAAGACTGTGATCCTTGCTTAAACCCACCAAGATATTGTGAACCAAGATTATCTCCAGATATAAATGCAATTGTTCCTGCAAAGCATCTTCGCTGATTATATATTATAAACTCATAGCCACCATCCTAAAAAGTTAATTTATTCCTTAATTTATTAGAGTTAAAAGAACAAAACATGAAAAACATGCATCGACACTAGTCCAATACCTGTTCGAATTTTTGAAGGTCTCTAAGAAATGCTCTTAGCATAGGTTCTACACCATATATCTTGAGATGCTTACCAGACACTAGTCCAAGTAGTTGAATGGAATTGATGTGAGACCAGTGTTCCGGGCGTATATTGCCCAATGTATAATAAAAAGCGGCTATATGAAATGCAAAAGGCAACCGGAAAATTTAATGAAATAGACATTTTTAAACCTACAGTATGGGAATTACTAGCACATTAAATTAAATTATGGTACTAACCTAATTTATGTTTGTTAGCTCTTGATCCTAATGGGTTACAAACTTCTACTTCATCAAAATAAATAAAAAGTTGCAATGCCAATGGATCTTTACTGAATAGTGGGTGCTCTTTAAAGCCTTCACCATCACAATAATCAGACAAAAAATCACTGTTGCAAAAATGAGGATTTTCCACCTACACAAAATTGGATCGGATACTGTCATGTGCAGAACAAAGCTAAGGCAATGGTAATATTAAAATTTTCTATATTCAGCATTGTGTTCAATGGACAATTATATACATACATCACATGCACATGTAATCAACACAAACCTCATTAAGAATTGACTCATCATTAAGAAGCTGTTGCAGACTTTACAACAAGGGAATATAGTATGCATCATCTGTTTTTCGACATCTCTCAATCTATTTCCTCTTCTTTTCTTAGTGTGGTATTTTCCAAGAACAATCTTTAGTGGTTCCTAAAAAGTGAAAGAATTGATTATAAAATTTTGATTACTTTTTTTATAAATTTCTAAACCAATTTTACAACTTACCACAAGATTAAACTCCTTCTTGTAGTATTCATATTGGAGATACTCTTGGTCAATACCAGCAAAAGGATTTGAGATTGAGTTGTCTTCATCAAATAACTCATTCACCTCTGGTAGGCTGTTTAAGTCAATCCCAGCGTTTTTAAGGCAGCTAGTTATACCAGACTTTAAAAGGTTAATGCTTGCTTGAGTAACTTTCGTAGCATTCTCAACGAAGGAATCAAAAACAGTTTGAGGTACACGTCCTCTTTCTTTGAAATTTAACAAACATAAAGCATTCGCTCTAGATAAATTGTCCTGGTCAGCCATAATGTCAAACTCTTCTCCCTGTTCAGGGTCTGTATTATCAATCTCATGATTTTGATTAGCATCGTCGTTTCCCCTATCAGTATTCAACTCTGCGCTGTTCCTCGTATTGCGCAAGATGTTATGTTTTCGAATAAGGTGATTTCTCAATGATAAAGATTTCTTAAACGTCCTGGCACAGCCATCGATGCCACAAACAACATGAAAATTTGGTTCATCACGATGAACACGGCCAATATGTGTTATTAGTAATTGAAGAGAATCTGAAACGAATTCTAGGCAAATATTACATCGATATAGACGCTCCATGACATAATTCACTTCAAGAATACAATAGACCTTTTCAAGGTTATCGCAGCCATATTAGAGACCTTAAGATTTCACGACGCGCGTTACAACGACGCGAGCTTGGCGCGCATGGCCTGGTGCGAATGCGTCCGCGTGTCATTGTAAAGGCGGTTTTCCATTACGGTCGCTTCGCCCGCGCGGGCGGTTTTTTAAGTAAGCGCATGCGTATTAAAGTTCTCTCCCCATATTTGCATCGTTCGCCCAGCGTTAAGCTGGATTTCCACTTCCCGGTAAGGACGGAAAACGGTAAACGCCAAACGGTACAGGCATGGGCAGTAGAAAATGTAGCACAGCAAAACGGTATGCACACCGTACTGCTTTCCAATTTTAAAAGTTGAAGTCAAGTCAACTTTTTTCCGCGGAATTCATACCGTTTCACTTTTTAGCCAATCAAATTATACCACAAAAATTGACTCCTGGGTAGTAGCAAGATGGCGGATAATACTGAATTGATGCTCACCAAATTATTAAGTTTTCAGAGAAGCAATCCGCATGTCAATTATTATGGTAGCCAAATATTTACTGGATCTGAAGAATCCACGTATATATTGGATCAAGATATAATGCAGAAGACGACGGCGACTGAAGATGTTTCCAAGGAGCAGCAACTGCTTAGCCAAACCAGTGATAATACGATAGACAATTTTGGACATAACGAAGAGAGCGAGTACTCTTTACAAAGTCAGAATCACTTCAGTAGTAATTTGACTGATGAAGTGTGGAATTATCCTTGCCTATGGGATTTGAAGTCCAAAGGGTTCAAGAACAGTGTTATGAAGAAACAAGCATGGTTAAAAATTTCAGAGCAACTCCATGTGCAAGGTACAGTCTCTAAATATGCATCAATGACAAAGCATCCTTTGACAAATGACAAGCAGGAAGCTTATCATGTTTATTGTGGTAACCAGAAATGAAAAATCTCTCATGTTTTTACTTTGTTACATGCCATTTCATGTGTTTATACCTGTGTGTTTGCATACCTAGCATTACATCTAAAAAACCATATTGTTAGTTTTGTCCTAGTTATGTAAAGTCCATAGCAAAACTTCAGATGATATTGATATTTTGTTCATAAACTCATTTGCAGATGCTTTTATTTTTTTGCTATTAAACCAGATGTGTATAAAAATATTGCGAGTATTGCACACCACATGTTGTGTTGTGCTTTCTTTTTAAATTTGTGACTTGGTATGCTTTTGACAACAATTAGTTATTTTACCCATATGTTTTTCAGCAATTGAAGCAGAAAATGAGTTCAAAAGGTTAAGAGAAAATTTCCGAAAGTGTCTGAAAAAGAGAGAATTGGAATCACGATCTGGAGCAGAAGCAAAAAAGTTACCCACATGTGCCTTCTTTGTTGAATTGAGTTTCCTTAGAGATAGTGTTTCTAATAGAAAATCAACAAGCAATGTGAATGTACCCAGACTATCAGATAGTCGATCATCGTCACCATTTGATTTAACTCAAGTATCCTCAGGCAGTTCCAATGAAATAGCAATTGCTGCACCTGGAATGAGAAATCCATCACCCAAGCCCAAACCATCCTCAGAAATCATAGCAGCCTCAACGAAAACTCGAAAACGAAAAGAAGATGATGACCCTTTAAATGCAGCTCTTACTGCAGCAATAGTCAAAGACATTAATAAATCTGGTGAAGACACAAATGATTCTGATTTACTTTTTTTGTAAAAGTCTGGTGGCACCTTTAAAACAACTCTCATCTAAGAAGAACAAGAGAGCTAGAATCAAACTTTTAGAGGTATTAATGAGCTTTGACATTGATGATGAATGATTAACTGCATGCTATATAACTGCATTAACTGGAACTATAAATACCATTTTGATGTTTAAGTTCTTGTTTTATTTAATTCTAGTGTGTTTTGTTGAAGGTAAATTGGTTTTCAACTGATGCTTGTTGTTTTGTCATTTATAATTACAGTTGTTTTTTCTGAAGGCCTTATCACGATTAGAGCATTAAAATTCTGGTTATATATGGGTATATTTATACAAGTTTATTAGAAAACTAGCATACTTAAAACTTAATAAATTACAAACTTTCTACACATTATATATGTTCTACTTTACTCATATGTACATGTTTCATTAATGAATGCTCCAACAATTGTCAAACCCAGTTAAAGATAACTTGTATTATTCATGTGTTGCTGTGTCATGCTTCAATTGCCATGGTACGTGCCCTGCCTCAGACATGAAATAATCACAAAATTTTTCTCGTATTCTCTTGGCTATTTTACTGTAATTATTAGAACCAAGTTGTTGAATGTCAGCCAACCCAGCTGTGCTATCAAATGCTTCTACTTCGTTGCGCCAGGCTCCTTTTTTAAATCCATAGCTGTTTTCGGTATCTGCAAAACCTGGAGGACAGTACCTACTTGCCTCAAAAGATTTGCCATGCATCAAGTAATTATGCAATGCCACAACTGCTTTTGTTGTACAAACGACCAAGTCAACTTTACCAATAATGGGGCGTCGCCAAATTCGGAAACGTGCAGCAGCTATGCCAAATGAGTTTTCAATGACCCTCCTAGCTCTAGACAAACGATAGTTATAAATCCTCTCTTTCAAAGAGAGTACCTCGCGCGGGTAGGGTTTCATCAGTTGCTCAGACAAACGGAATGCCTCGTCCCCAACAAAACATAAGGAAATTTGTTTTCTGATCCAGGTATCTTCTCATTTCTGGGTAGATGCAAAAGATCATGTTCTATTGCATATCCTAGATTACTTCTAGAAAAAACGCCTCCATCACTATTTCTGCCCGAGTCTCCGATATCTACGAGGGTGAACCGGTATTGTGCATCGCACACTGCTAAAAGAACAATTGAGTGAGTTTTTTTATAATTAAAGAAACTCGACCCTCATCTTGCTGGAGCTTGCATGACTATATGCTTGCCATCAATTGCCCCCAAGCAATGTGGAAAATTCCATTTGCGATTAAAATCTTTCGCAATGTTCTTCCATTCGACTTCACTTTCGGCACACTTAACGTAAATGGGTGAAAGAACATCCCAAATAGCTGCCGTAGTCTCTCTTATAACACGGCTGATAGTTGTAGGATGTATACGGAAATTGCTTGACAGCGAAGCGTGAGAGTTTCCAGTGACCAAGTATCTTAGAGTAACTGAGAGCCGCTCACTCGGAGATATTGGTTCTCTTTTTTCACTGCACTTGGCGATTTTAGGAGCAACAAGCTGCAAAAGTTCTTCGAACTGGGATACGGACAACCTGAAGTATTTGAAGTAGTATTCCCTATCAAAAAGTCTCATCTCTTCTACAAGAAGGTGAAACTCTCCATTTTGCTTTCTTTCCTGAAATATTCTTCGAACCCACATTCTCTTTTTGTATTTTTTTCGCAGTTGCATTCTTCTTTTCAATAGCAACAGCATCATTAATGTTTTTGTTCTAAGTTTAGCCATGATGATGCGCATCTGTTTTAAAATGTCCGCCAAAACAAGAGGAAATTAATAAACGGAAAATTTCCTTCATGTGTACCGTTTACCGTTACCGTCCTTACCGGGAAGTGGAAATCCAGCTTTAGCCTGAACGCTGACGGACAAGCTGACGAGTCGAAGTCACATCGACTTTCATCGCGAACCATGCGGCGAACAGCAAAACAACATGGCGGCTATAGAGGAAGGGATTATGCAGCAAGTGAATCAAGACGAAAACTTGAGTCACTTTCATGTTGTATTACCAGAAAACGTTGAAGATGACAATAGTATAGATGAAATTTTGATTGAAGAGGTCAGAAACAACGGAATTCTCTGGAATACATCGTTACGTGATTACAAAGATATTGCGAAAAATCGCAGGCTTGGGTGAAATTGCTTCTCGTTTGAACCGAAATAGTAAGTTTTGTTGGTTAAGTTAAGTCATTAAGATTGGATTTCCTTAACGACGCGAACTTGTGAGTTCACTACCTATACTTTCAAAAAATGGCTTCCTTCAAAGAAACAAGAAATGCTATAGCTGTTGCGTATGACGCCGCTTTGATAAACGAAGAAGAATTTGCGCTTTTGTATGATATTTCGCGTTCAAAGAACCCAGAATTAAAACATGGCGACTATTCATCTTTTGATTTGGAGGAAATTGATGAAGTTACATGTGCTGTAGACTTTCGTCACAGCACATGTAAATTTCGAAACACGAAATCCTTTGCTGGCTGAAGCGTTAGATTTTCCTCAACGTTTCAAATGTAAACAAGGAACAGTTTGTGATGGGCTGGAAGCTCTTTGCCTTGTCCTTCGTCGGTTTGCTTATCCATGTCGATACAGTGATCTAGTACCGCAGTTTGGTAGGTCTGTTCCAGAACTCAGCATGATCATGAATACCGTTGTTGACTACATTTTTGAGAGGTATGGGGACAAAATAACCAGTTGGAATCACCAGTTGCTCAGCCCAGAAAATCTGATGATTTATGCTGAAACCATCCATCAAAAAGGAGCAGCTCTTGATAATTGCTTTGATTTCATTGATGGGACAGTAAGGCAGATTTGTAGACCAGGTGAAATGCAACGAGTAGTGTACAAAGGTCACAAGAGGGTCCATGCTCTTAAGTTCCAATCAGTTACACTTCCAAATGGAATAATTGCAAACATGTTAGGACCAACAGGTAAATGCAACATTTGTCAAGGGTAAATTCTGTTGAAAAACAAACTGAGTTATTTTTCTTTTAGAGGAAGAAGGCATGATTCTGCCATGCTGGCTGAGTCAGGACTTCTGAATGACCTTGAAGAGTTTGCTCATTGGAATGGAAAACCCTTGTGCCTATATGGAGATCCCGCTTATCCTTTGCGCATTCATTTGCAAGCACCATACCGAAACCTACCACTAACCATGCCAATGGAAGAATTCAATAAGTCAAAGAGTGCTGTGAGAATATCAGTGGAGTGGATTTTTGGTGACATTATAAACTACTTTAAATTCCTTGATTTTAAGAAGAATCTAAAAATTAGCTTAAGTTCTGTGGGAAAATATATATATATTTCCATCACTGCTTAGAAATGCTCTAACTTGTCTGCAATCAAATATGACAAGTGATTTTTTTCAGTTGGAGCCACCCTCTCTTCAAACATATTTCTCATAATTTTTTTGTGAATATTTCTTGTTTCTCATACATTGTAATTACAAATTATTTTCTTTGTCTGCAATTTTTGTTAAAAAAAAACATGATTAGTTTATTTGTCAGCAATTTTTGATAAAAGAGCTACTAGGGCTTGTGATAGTTGTTGCTGTTGTTGAACCAGTAACATTTGATTTGCTTGAATTTGCTGGTTTTGTTGCCTTTGCAATTCAATCATGTTTTGCAGCAACTGATTTTGTTTCTCCATGAATTGCTGTTGACTTTTTTTCTCATTCTGTAATTGCAGCCTTTGCATTTCTATTTTCTCTCTTTCCAATTTTAAGCTTTCCTCTCTTAATTTTCTCCCCCTTTTCTCTTAAAAACTCTACAGTAGAATCTCCTCCTTTCCTAACTTTTTTTCTAGCACCACCTTGCTCGCTTTCCTTTCGCTTCCTGGTTTCGGATAGATTTTCCATAGCCCTTCTCCTTATCTCCTCTGCTGCTTTTTTATCTGCATTATTTTTTCTTCTTTCTGCAGCTGTAGCCTCAGCAGCAACAACATCACTAGCTTTTTCTCTAGCATGAATTTCTTCGAGTAAATCATCCTGCTCAGTTGCTTCTGGAGAAATGCCACTTGCATTTCTTTCTTCTCTTTCTTTCTTGCAATAGTTTGCAAGCAATTTTCGCACTCTGTCTGTTACTGCACGCTGGTCAACACGAAAGCAAATGTGGTCATGTTGCTCTAACTTCCTAGCAACGGCTTCCCACACCTTCCCTCTTTCAAGGGATTTTTTTCTTGTTTCAAAAAGTCTTGACACAACAACTTCTTTGCACAGTTCTACATCATGCTTGATGAGCAATCACTTGATGCTGATGAAAACTGTTCTGCCATTTTCTTGCCTTGCTAAAAGCAAAAATGTAAACATATTTTACTCACAGATAAATATCAACACATCAATCACATGCCAGACTCTACAGACAATTGTAACAGGTGAATTAAAAGCTGAAATACTTACTTTAAAACTTTTTTTTGTGAAAAATTCCACCTTCGATATAGGACGACGTGGGATTAAGCCCAGACGCCGCGTTGTAGAAGCACGACAAAACTCAACGACTCACGCACATGCGCATTGGTTTAAAATTCATTTCCGCTCGCGTTGTAGATGAACGCGTCGTTAAATCTTAAGGTCACTATTGCAGGGGGTGCAAAAACATTGGGCGGAGCGCGCGGTCACGCACGGCGTCCATATAAATTACTAATAAATGCGCAAAAATTACCTTATACATATTGGCCATTTCTTTCAAATATATTTCTCAAACTCGTCCATTTTAATAGTCAAATTATTATTTGCGATTTTTTATACACGTGAGTCCAATTTTGTGGTAATCAAAAAGTGGAAAGTTAAAGAAAACATTTGTTTTCTTTGAACAACTTGACCGTTGTTTGAGCGATGTTCTTGAGTTCGCAAATGTGCGGAACTCATAAGCCAAGTCAAACGAACTAAACCCTAAACTAGCCAAGTAGCCGTGAGCAGTCATAGCCGAAATGGTAAAAAATGCGCGTTGTGCACTTGGATATTGCGATAATGATAAACGCTATCCCTATTAT